CTGATCAGGGCGCTGGACGGGAGGCGGCTGATTGTCTGGAGGAAGGATCTACAGGGTGCCCACAGGCTCATGGAAAACCTGGAAATGTCAGGGAATTTGAAAATATAAATATACACACACACACAATATAATATAAATAAATATAAACATGAAAACAGAATTGTAAAAAAAATTGTATTGTAAAACAATGACAACAGCTGTCATAAAATTGTATAAAAAATGATGTATATATATATATACACACACACACACACACATTCAAATGGGGTCAGTAAGTTTTTTTTAATTTTCAGTGATATTGAAATGCAAAAATGCAATTATTTGATCAAAAATACTGTAAAAGCAGAACTATTTTGAAATATTATTACAATTTAAATGAACTGTTTTATATTTAAATATGTTTTAAAACTTCATTTATTGCTGTGATGCAAAGCTGAATTTTCAGCATCATTACCCCTGTCTTCAGTGTCACATGATCCTTCAGAAATCATTCTAATAGGCTGATTTACTGCTCACGTTTGAACAATGTAATGCAACCTTGCTGAATAAAAGTATTCATTTCATTTCTTTAACCTACAGGTTTAAAAGGTGTGGGAACCCTGGCTCTAGAAGATTCAAATGGGGTCAGTAAGTTTTTTTTAATTTTCAGTGATATTGAAATGCAAGGCTGCATTTATTTGATCAAAAATACTGTAAAAGCAGAACTATTTTGAAATATTATTACAATTTAAATGAACTGTTTTATATTTAAATATGTTTTAAAACTTCATTTATTGCTGTGATGCAAAGCTGAATTTTCAGCATCATTACCCCTGTCTTCAGTGTCACATGATCCTTCAGAAATCATTCTAATAGGCTGATTTACTGCTCACGTTTGAACAATGTAATGCAACCTTGCTGAATAAAAGTATTCATTTCATTTCTTTAACCTACAGGTTTAAAAGGTGTGGGAACCCTGGCTCTAGAAGAACTTGTGCTCTAGAACGGTCTGTATAGAGAGATCAGAGCATGTACTGTATGAGCTGGGCTTTGCTTAGACTTTTAAATCGCTGCACTAACTTCAAGCAATGAGATGGCATCGACAAAAACAATCACTCACATACACTCACACACATATGCCTTGCCTACTTGATTTCCTCAAAGCAGCAGCCATGATCTCCAGCTGAAAGCCCCTCTCCTGTAATTATGAACATATGTGGAGTTCAGTTATGTACAGGAGATCAGCGTGTTCACGTGTGTCAGACCTGTGTGTTATTGATTATGGAGCTGCTCTCACTGGATGGAATTAAAGGAGCAGTTCTCTGGCAAAAGATGATTGTGTTTGAGAACGTTTCTATCTTCGCAGGTAACACTGCATCAGTGGGTCTGATTTAAAGGTCCATGCACACGAAGCACGATTAATAACTTATTACACTCTAAAAAATGCTGGGTTAAATACAACCCAGTGCTGGGTAAAATAGGGACAAACCCAGCAATTGGGTTGTTTTGAACCAGCGGTTGGGTTAAATGTTTAACCCAACCTTCTGGGTAGTAACCCAACCGCTGGGTCAAAACAACCCAATAGCTGTGTTTGTCCCTATTTTACCCAGCAGTGGGTTGTATTTAACCCAGCATTTTTTAGAGTGTAGCGTCCACATTATTAACTTACCACTGAATCTTCTGTCTCAGTTGCACCGATCGACCATTGAAATGTAACATTGTAACCCAACTGGTTGCGTTGTTATAGAAATAACCCAATGAACGTTAAGAATAACCCAACAAGCGATCCAACTATTGGGTAGGCCTACAGTAAACAACCCAACGTTTTTTAGAGTGTAGGAAAATATAATTAATTGTGTGATCCTGTTAGCAGAATTTTACATAAATGAAAATTTGCTGGCTCTCTCTTTATTTAAAGTTGATTTAGACAAGTAGGCCCAGCCTAGTCTATATGGAAACTATTTAAAGTTATCTTAACCCTAAAACAGTTAAAACGGCAGGCCTATCTCTATTCACCCTGAAGTGAATTTATTACTTTTTTTACACTTGTATCTGTGTATACTTTCTTTCTTTCTTCTTTCTGTGTTTTGTTTTTATAGCTGTACTGCCTTAATGTTTTTATGTTTGTACTGTTTAAAAAAAATCTGAAAAAAAAGATTGCGATACACACTTCGAAGGGGGCATTCTAAAACGCTTAAAGTGAAAAACGCTTAACAGTGTTTTTAAAAGACCAAATCAGTAAACATTATTAATAAAGCATACAGACAAGATGAGCACAGAATACGAACGCAACTTGTTTAATTTACGCGTTAAGTGTATCAACCATAGAAAACCGTAGAATACGAACGCAACGATCTGAATCAAATGATTCATGATACGCGCTCCGAAGGCCCGATCTGAATCAAATGATTAACAAGAATCGCTCCGAAGGCCCGATCTGAATCAAATGATTAACAAGAATCGCTCCGAAGGCCCGATCTGAATCAAATGATTAACAAGAATCGCTCCGAAGGCCCGATCTGAATCAAATGATTAACAAGAATCGCTCCGAAGGCCCGATCTGAATCAAATGATTAACAAGAATCGCTCCGAAGGCCCGATCTGAATCAAATGATTAACAAGAATCGCTCCGAAGGCCCGATCTGAATCAAATGATTAACAAGAATCGCTCCGAAGGCCCGATCTGAATCAAATGATTAACAAGAATCGCTCCGAAGGCCCGATCTGAATCAAATGATTAACAAGAATCGCTCCGAAGGCCCGATCTGAATCAAATGATTAACAAGAATCGCTCCGAAGGCCCGATCTGAATCAAATGATTAACAAGAATCGCTCCGAAGGCCCGATCTGAATCAAATGATTAACAAGAATCGCTCCGAAGGCCCGATCTGAATCAAATGATTAACAAGAATCGCTCCGAAGGCCCGATCTGAATCAAATGATTAACAAGAATCGCTCCGAAGGCCCGATCTGAATCAAATGATTAACAAGAATCGCTCCGAAGGCCCGATCTGAATCAAATGATTAACAAGAATCGCTCCGAAGGCCCGATCTGAATCAAATGATTAACAAGAATCGCTCCGAAGGCCCGATCTGAATCAAATGATTAACAAGAATCGCTCCGAAGGCCCGATCTGAATCAAATGATTAACAAGAATCGCTCCGAAGGCCCGATCTGAATCAAATGATTAACAAGAATCGCTCCGAAGGCCCGATCTGAATCAAATGATTAACAAGAATCGCTCCGAAGGCCCGATCTGAATCAAATGATTAACAAGAATCGCTCCGAAGGCCCGATCTGAATCAAATGATTAACAAGAATCGCTCCGAAGGCCCGATCTGAATCAAATGATTAACAAGAATCGCTCCGAAGGCCCGATCTGAATCAAATGATTAACAAGAATCGCTCCGAAGGCCCGATCTGAATCAAATGATTAACAAGAATCGCTCCGAAGGCCCGATCTGAATCAAATGATTAACAAGAATCGCTCCGAAGGCCCGATCTGAATCAAATGATTAACAAGAATCGCTCCGAAGGCCCGATCTGAATCAAATGATTAACAAGAATCGCTCCGAAGGCCCGATCTGAATCAAATGATTAACAAGAATCGCTCCGAAGGCCCGATCTGAATCAAATGATTAACAAGAATCGCTCCGAAGGCCCGATCTGAATCAAATGATTAACAAGAATCGCTCCGAAGGCCCGATCTGAATCAAATGATTAACAAGAATCGCTCCGAAGGCCCGATCTGAATCAAATGATTAACAAGAATCGCTCCGAAGGCCCGATCTGAATCAAATGATTAACAAGAATCGCTCCGAAGGCCCGATCTGAATCAAATGATTAACAAGAATCGCTCCGAAGGCCCGATCTGAATCAAAT